GGGGGCGGGATCGTTGGTTTCGACGCGAAGTTGTCGTCAACGTTGGATCAGAAGACCCATAAGAGCTCTGGATCTCCTTTTGAATAATTGCAGTAAACAACTTGGGTATCGTCGTGCCATCGATGACTTCGCCGTGTTGAAAGACATGGGCTTGAAAGTTGATAAAGGATTTAAACCGCTCATCGAGGCTGTTCAGGATATGTGAACTTGGAGCTTGTCGTCGATGGTCATCCCAGCATCGAGCACTCCACCCAGACGAATTTCGAAACGATCGCAATACTCACGGGCAGATTCGTTGTGGCGGATGCGAATCTCCAGCAGCTTTTGAAACATATAGGATTCGCACATAAAGGATTTGGTGCCGTAGCGTTCGCTGAGGAGCTTCATCATGGATGCAGCAGTCGGTTGCTTGGAAACCATACAGACGTGGTGGTTGTCAAGAGCTGCCAGGATAATGGCGCTGGCAAACCTGTTCTTGGAGATGAAGTCCGCATGAGTTGGAGGCATAGCGCCATCGACAACTTCAAGGACTTCCTTGAGTTCGAGGTACACATTGAGTCGACACTCCCATTCATTGAACGACTTTCCGTTGAACATGTGGACAGGGTGTTTAAAATCCATGGTTCAGAAACAATGAATGTAGTGGGGAAAATCCAACCAATTAACTGGAATTAGTTGTAACCGCGAGACCCGACAATGGGCAGAAGCTTGGCTTTGTAGATGCTGTCGACTTCGTTCAAGATAGACTTGTCCACGAGGTCGGTGACTTGTTGGATCAGCAGGGAGAATGTTCGAAAGTAGTACTTGTTGTAGTCGACGACCTTGGGGTCGGAATGGGAAAAATCCTCACTACTCTGGTCCACAAAAACCACAAAAAGAGTCACATATTTCTTCTGATTGGCGGCATTTTTCAAAATACTTCGAGTTGAGGCTATCTAATTGGCTGACAAGAAAGCACATGATCTCAACTTTGATTGTCTGTGTTTTGAACTTTGCAGATCGATTTTGTTGCCAAGTTATGGAGGCGGGAAATCAGTCTCTGATCGCAACGCACACATAATGACCCGCCAGGGTTCAAAACTCAATTTCATCCTTAGTGGTGAATAGCAAACCCCCATCTATTGCACACACCTGTCGAGCCATGCCATCCGCTTTGCTAACCGCTGATTCGTCGCGACTCAACCCACGGAGGAAGCTCAGCAACGACGAGCATGCTGCCGTCTACCATGCGCTCCTATCAAGGAGCATGAACGGCAAGCTCCCGCGTGGGGCTCTATCTGCGACAGCCCAGCAATTCCAATACCAGCTACGAACAGTGTCGCGCGTTTGGACTCGTGCACAGAGCTCACTCCGTGCCGGCGACATGTTGGCCGATGTTTCAATGAAATTCAAAGGTTTTACCTCTCACATTCTATGTGGCGACAAAATTTTGTCG